CTATTTCAATCTTCCTTCTCAGTTCCTACTTTGATTTCCAGCCCTTACTTTGATGATGGACTGTGATGTAGAAGTGTCAGCTGAAACTCTTCCCTCCCCAAGTTACTTTTTAGTCATGGTGTTTTGTGCAGCAATAGAAACCATCACTAAGACACCATTTCTCTATCAAGGAAGGAATTATAGAATGAGAAGTTTGCATTCTACTACATACAAGATCTACTGCAGCAAAGACAGGGCATAATCACATAGCTCATAGCCAGAGCCCCACCCATAACACAGGGCAAGAGGTGTCCAGAGAAGCAGCACCTTCTGGCCCTGTGAGTATGGGTTTACATAAAGCTTTTAATAGGGTGTGGGATGGTGCTGGATTCCTTTCTGTTTTCTTGAACAGGAATGGACAGTTCATTTGGCCAGTTGGATCATTTTAAATGACATAGGTGGAATCTGTGAAATTCCCAGAAGCCAGCTGAGCCTTAACCAGATCTGCCTGCAGCAACTGTTTACTCTTTTCTCCATAGTACTTTCCTTTATTGGGTACTGAGTGATAATTATCCTCATACCCTTATCTCCTCCTCTGACCCACTCCTTAAACTCCAGCTGTTGAGATTAGCAACTTTGTTCTACCCACCACCCAAAAAGGAACCTCAGTGACCATGGATTTACACTGAAAGCTCTGAAAACATGAGTCAAAAATATATTCCCCTTTTAAGTTTTTTCAGGTATTTTATTACAGCAACAACAAAAATTCTAACAGATCATGTTGGTATTGGTGGCTATAAAATTAATTAGCTTAGGACATAAGACATGGACTTACCTAAGTTATAGATATGTTGAATTTTAGATATTCAGGGGACATGTGAATTAGAGAATTAGTTTTTTGTTCAATGTGACATTATAGTCAATATTTGTATACCAATATAACCGATAATTCTTTCTTGCCCAATGGGCTCCTTTAAAACTGGCTAACAGCCTTTTATTGTGACTTCTAAACTTTGAGTCATTGCTACAAACAGTCTTACCCACTCTAACAAATTCTGAGAGTTAGGGTTTTCCATCTTTCTGAAGACCCACAGCTCCATAGTAATAGGCCCAAAATTTAGCAATAGGTCTTTGCAAAAAGCTGCATACAATATTTCACAAAGGTTGTCATTTGAACTGTTTCTTAGCCCAATGAGCTATACAGTGCCTAAGATATATCAACAGTTTGTGACCAATTAAGGAAGCCTTAATTTGGGGCATATATAATTAACCTGCTCTACAGAAATTAAGACAGCATGTGATTAGTTATATTTACTAGTCAAGTAAAGTCTCATACAATATGAACAAGATTACCATACCACTGCACAAAGGAAGTGTTTCACATAAATGCAATGGTGGCTGCAATTGTGACTGAAGGGAGAAGTGATTAAAATGTGCAAAAAATACACTGGTATAAATATAGCCTCAAAATATCAGCTACTGTGTGACTTCTTACACTTACCAATGTTTTAGCTTTACTATTATAAAGACCACAGGAGCCTTCAGCTAGACTCAAATAGATTAAAAACTGTTCAAGGTCAAAGAACAGGTTTTTGGCAGAAATAGTAGTCAAACTTGATATCAAAGTTTATGCACGTACCATTACATCACCATGGATCTTCAAACATTTTATCTGGTTAATAAATCTCTAAATTGTTTCGAGTTTTTCTTCCTTAAAGTAAAAATTCATAGTAACTTATAATTTGGACTAATCCAAGTATTTCTGTGAAAAACTAAATGTGGGGGAAAAAAGAAAACCTAAATGTGTCTCTTTTTCTGGTGTAAAGTCTGAGTCACCTGTGTCCCATGGGTAGTCAGTCTCATAGCAGCTGGAAGCATTCACTGCATGTTTTCTGAATAGATGATTTTCATCCGAAAGCCTATCATACATGTGACAGCTGTGCTGTCAAATATATGCAGTGCTGGTTTCATGTCTACACTCTTTTAGATCAGAAAATCTAACACATATGTTACAGGGTAAATAAGCCTTCTTTAGCACTGAAAAAAACTGAGATTCATTTACTCTTCTTACAACTTTCCACTAGAAAAATCAAATCAAGCTGAAAGGAAAATTATTTGCAACTATTTTGAATTCTATATATGCAAATCCTGGCTCTACCGCTTGTTATTTTAATATGTAGGTAATAATGATATCTAAAAATGTCTGATATCAACTATGAAAACCATCATTAGAATTCTCCATGTGTGCTAATAAACTGATGAAGTCAAAATGATCTGAATTCATTAATTATTAAGTAAAAGGGGAAAATTTCTGTGACTCTACCAAGAAAACATTTCTACAGGCACTTGGAAATGATGTTACTTCATTTTACAACTCTCTTTACAATATCTGACACTTTGATCTCATGAAGCCATGGTCCTAAGACCCTGAAACTGTTAATCTGGAAAGTAAAACTGTTCTCAGAGATGAGAGACGTGTGTGTGTGTGTGTGTGTGTGTGTGTGTGTGTGTGTGTG